ACAACTCGGTATACACTAAAAACTCAATTGAACTTGACAAATAGTCTCAAGGTGCAAATAAATGCATATCTCATATAACTTCCAAACCATTCGATTAATATAGATGGTGTATTCTGAAAGTTTGTTTAAAATTGAATACTTTAGAATATCGACTAACATTGTAAAGCCCTACAACAACTCGGTATGCCCTAAAATTGAAATATAATCCTGATTCGATTAACCTAAGTGTATCTATTTATTAAATCTCCTGTAACTTTCAAACCATTCGATTATTATGGATGGGCCAAACGAAATTTATACTATATATAAATACAGTAGTACTGGGTTAAAACGTATTGCCATACACCGAACTAAAAACGCGTCTTATGCGAGAAGTTTTTCAAAATGCAGGCTTCTGCGTAAAGTGGCGTGTTATACGGGAAATTATGGAAAGTATGATCGTTTTAACGGGGTTATACTGGATATGTATGTATATGTATATTCATATATATAAATAGTATCAGGTGAAAAGTCTAATGTAGCATAAGTTTATTAAATTAGACACACATGCTTTGCTTTTCCACAAAGGCTTTTACTCGGGTGAAAGATTTAGTTCGTTCGGAAAAACTGACCGGTTAACATTTTAGCACAATTTTATTAATAATTATTAAATTAATAATAATAATACAATAACAAATAGTAAATAAATTAGTTAAAAGTGTCAGTTTGTCCCTATGTGATCGGTGTCAGTGAAGGCAAAGAGTATAATCAATGAGATCCTCTATATAGTTTTCATTTGATGTGAGGAAAACTGTTTTTCCAAATGTACTATGTACATGAGTCAACTGTTGAGAGCTTGTTCTAAGGAATTCACTATGTGAGTTATTTAAACATATTGACAACTTCACTTTAGTCCCTACATTAATTTTAAATTCGAGTCTAATGAAGTTTCATTTCAAAAATATAAGTTGTATCCTTTATGGCTTGAGGGATATCATTTGAAAGACCTCGAAAAGTAGATAAAACTAGTATAATTTTTTATAACAGTAAAATTATAACAATTTCACCCGTTTTTATGATTGAGGCTGTAGAAGTTTTACTTCAAAAATTTAAGTTGTATTTATTGCTTGTGGGATATCGTTTGGAAAGACTTGAAGATTAAAATGTGAATCTGCGGAAATATTTTAATTTTTATAAAACTGTAACGAGTGTCACAATTTTCATTTCAAGCCTAAAGAAGCTTTACTTCAAAAATATATGTTGTATCCTTTACTGCTGGTATCGTTTGAAAGGTCTCGACAAGTAGAAGTATCCATAACGCAGTGAATCTACACAAAAACATATTTTTTTATAAAACTGTAACGATTGTGACATAATTTTAATTTCAAGTCTAAAGAAGTTTGACTTCAGAAATATATGATGTATCTTTTTTATGCTTGTGGGGTATCATTTGAAAGGTCTCGAGAATAAGAATGTGAATCTTCAGAAATATTTTAATTTCCTATAAAATTATAACAGTTTTCACACATTTTTTTGTCCCAATCTAATGAAGTTTCACTTCAAAATTTTTAAGTTGTTTTATTATTGCTTGTGGGGCATCGTTTGAAAGGTGTCGAGAAGTAGAATATGAATCCACAAGAAAATTGAAAATTTTCATAAAACTGAAACAATTGCCACATAATTTACAATAAACAAGTGTAAAAAAGTTTTACTTCAAAAATATAAGTTGTATCCTTTATTGCTTGTGGGGTATCATTCGAAAGATCTCGAAAAGTAAAATGTGATTTTTCACAAAAACATTGATTTCTTATAAAATTATAACAATTTCCCCCCGATTTTATGATTGGAGCTATAAAAGTTTAACTTCAAAATTACTTGTGGGGTATAATTTGAAAGATCTTGAGAAGTAGAATGTGGATCCACAAGAAAATTTTTAATTTTTATAAAAGTGTAACAATTGGCACATATATTTCATTTCAAGCCTGAAGAAGTTTTACTTCAAAAGAAAAATTGTATCCTTCATTGCTTGTGGGGCATCATTTAAAAGCTCTCGAGAATTACAATGTGAATCTACAGATATATTTCAATTTCTATAAAACTGTAACAATTGTCATATAATTATAATTTCAAGTCTAAAAAAGTTTTACTTCAAAAATATAAGTTGTATCCTTTATTGCTTGTGGGGTATCGTTTGAAAGGTATAGAAAAGTAGAATGTGAATCTACACAAAAAATTTAAATTTTTAAACAACTGAAACAATTGTCACATAATTTTAATTCCAAGACTAAAGAAGTTTTACTTCAAAAATATAAGTTATATCTTTTATTGTTTGTGGGGTGTCATTTTAAAAGTCTCGAGGTCTTACATGTGAATCTATATAAATATTGAAATTTTTATAAATCTGCAACAATTGTCATATAATTTTAATTTCAAGTCTAAAGAAGTTTTACTTCAAAAATATATGTGGCATCATTTATTGCTTGTAGGATGTTGTTTAAAAAATCTCTAGAAGTAGAAATTAAATAAACAAAAATTGAAATTTTTATTTTAACTGCAACAATTGTCACATAATTTTAATTTCAAGTCTAAAGAAGTTTTACTTCAAAAATATATGTTGTATTCTTTATTGCTTATGGAGTGTCGTTTGAAAGCTCTCAAGAAGTAGAATTCAGATCCATAAGAAAATTTAAAATTTTTATCAAACTGTAACAATTGCCACATAATTTTAAATGTACAAATCTAAGGAAGTTTTACTTCAAAAATATGCGTTGTATTCTTTATTGCTTGTGCGGTATCATTCGAAAGGTCTCGAGGAGTAAAATGTGAATCTACACAAACATTTTAAATTTTTATAAAACTGAAACAATTGTCACATGATTTTAATTTTACGTCTAAAGAAGTTTTAAAGTATCAAGCAATATAAAGGAAAAATATGCGTTGTATTCTTTATTGCTTGTGAGGTATCGTTTGAAAGGTCTCGAGGAGTAGAATGCAAATCTTCAAGAAAATTTTAATTTACTATGAAATTATTGCAGTTGACACAGATTTTTATTGGTGCAACAAAGCTTTCCTTACTTTTTAACAAATTAACAAACGTTTCGTTTACAAGTATCATGTCTAATGAAGGATAAAATCAACCACTAGTAGCAAAAATCTATTTTAAACACCATATGTCTAAACAATAATATGAACCTCAAATTTCTCCGAATTTCGCCAACAACTACGCATAAATAAAGATTTTAGGTAAGTTCTCATTACAATTCTAAAAAATTTTCCAGGTCCGCAGTATCGAAACAAAGAAAAGAAAGCCTCGATAAAAAATCCTCCCCATCTCACTCTAACAGAAACACCAACACAACAACAACAAGTACCAACAGATCGAACCAAAACTCACCAAGAAAAGACAGCAGATCATCTACAGATCACACGTCAAAACAAGGAACTACAAAAGGAATACTTTGTCAACCAAGGTAAAAGAATAAAGGTCAAAATAGTAAAAAAGCAAGCCAAAACAAGAAATATAAATGGTTTTATTTGTTTTCCCAGGAGGTGCAGTGAAGGTGCCAAAAGCAGTTCCTTAGAATCCAATGCTGATACGAAACGTCGTTATTCAGAAAACGTCGAAAATAATCAGAATAATAAAAAAGTAGACTTCACAACACCAGCTGATAAGAGGAAGTTATTTTCGCGGTCCAATAATTTTAGATATTACTCCACCAGCGATTTAGTTGACACAGAACGCAGGTAAGGAATCCTTACTAGAAACCAGTAAAAAAAATCCTGACATTTGACCCTGATCTTGCTCTTATTCCAGATGCTCCGCCTCCTGTTGCAACCGCAAATCAAGTGACCCTTGCGTCAGAACTGAATGTGAACGAAGAAGATCATCCCAAGATCGAACTTCCAAAAACAACCACCGCCAAAACAGTGATCAAAGCGACCACCAAAAATCCGATAGTGATCGTGATCGTCCATCAAAATTTAGGAAAAACAGCGACCACAAAAATAACGAGAAGGAACTTAACTACATCAATCGCAGAAAGAGCGACCAGGGAATCCCAAACGATCATAGAAGATCCAGTGATCCTAGATATTATAAAAGACAATTCAGTGATCCCAGCAACCAGGAGTTTGCACGACGCAAAAGTGATCAAGCAAGATGGCACAGTGATCAAGTTATATGTGAGATTTTAGAAAATCAGTTATACGAACAGAATAGATGCAAGGACAAATCTTATGATCGGATTAAAACTTGTGATCATTGTGAAAGAAAACCAAGAAGCCAAGAGTTCTACGACCAAGTTGAACCAAGTGATTCAGAGAGAAGCAAGTGGCGCAGTGAGCAAGTAATCCACCAGCAGGATAGAGATCATAGACGATCTAGTGATCCTAGAGGATACATTCGTCAACAAGATCATAGTTACTATTTTGAGGAAGAGAGTGATGATGTTTATTTAGATGACAATCAAGACTTCTCTGGTGATTACTTAAGTTTCCAACAAAACCTTTGTGACTATTACCCCGATTACCAACAGTCATTAGTAAAAGTTGATAATTGGATCACAAGCGATCAACCAAGTAGACCTTTACGTAGTACAATTATCAGAGGACAGCATTTACCACGCGGAGATTCTAGTGATTTCGATGACAGATGGTTAGGACGTGACGATTCACTAGATTTAGTAGAAAGACGTGCCTCATCCTCCTACCTTGATCCTGATACTGTAGATCCTTATGCCCCTAGCATCAACGATTACTGTGACTCCAAATTTTATGGTACTGCTACATCGCATGATCGAATTCACGATTATTATACCCAGAGTTTGCCGACTGACTATTTAGGAACGGACGAGTTCTGTTACCAGAGCCGACACGGGCAGTTTCCTGATAAATATCTGGTGCGTGGTTCCAGTTTAGATGCATATGTACCAGTTGAAAGGGATTTTAGAAAAAGTGGACCGAGACATTATCAGAGTGGACGTTCTAGACGATATCGGAGTGGGAGTGGAAGTGGTCGCGTGATGGTTACGATGTCCGGACCGGAAGATCCGGACCGCAAAGTGGTCTTGGAGTTTTGTCACCTGCTGGAGAAGTCTAAGCAACTGTTTAATGGACTCAGGTAAAAATATAAAACTACTAATCTACTTTTATCATATTAATTTTTCAGTAAAAACTACTAAACCCCATTCCTAAATTTAGAACACACTTGGTTAAACAATATCTATAAAATAGTTTCCTTTCTTAATGCACCAAAGCTCTCATCTAGTAGTGTTATCTTAACCTCAGTCCTAAATTTTCACTTAATCTGCTGCAGAGATCTTCCTCAGTATGGTCACAGACAATGGCAGGCCTACTTCGGACGAACGTTCGACGTCTACACAAGATTATGGAAATTCCAACAGCAACATCGACCGATTCTGGATCGGAAGTACGGACTCAAAAGATGGCAAATTGGAGAGATAGCCAGCAAAATTGGACAACTGTATTATCACTACTAGTAAGTAGAAATTGACAACTATTTGATTAAACCATTTGGCTACCTTTGTGATAAAAGTTGTAAATCTCTGTTTCGTTTTTGGCTTGAACGATTTTTTTTTTGCAGTTTAAGGACTAGTGAAACAAGTTACCTAAACGAAGCCTATTCGTTCTATGCAGCCATAAGGGGGCGCGCCTATTATTCAAGGGCTCTCAAAGAAGATAGGTGAGTCTTTACTATTGTCAATAACAATCGAATGGTTTCTGACGTTGATTTCTTCCAGGTCTGATTTAATGGTGAAGAAATTAAGATATTATGCAAGATTCATAATGGTGTGTCTGTTGCTAAAGAAAATGAAACTGGCGAGAGAACTCGTTCAGGAATTAGACAGACATATAGGTAAGTGATAAATCAATATTTCTTCTAGACTGTCGTCCTTGTATTTTGTACAAAATTGCACACTTGCTAATGGTAATATTATATTTACCAAAACTTCACAGAACCTTTCTATATCCATCAGTTGCACCAAAAATTCTCATCAAAGTCAACGCAGTCGCCAGAAATACATCAAATCTACATCAATTCAAATTTCCTTCAAAAAGCCAATAATTATAACAAACGTCTATTTTTTCACAAATGTATGATGTTTTTACTAGGTGACTACAGTGCAGCCTACGCAGCTGAAGATAGGCACGAGTGGATGTTAGTGCTGGACGAAGCAAAATGTTTCCTGAAGGCCGAAGGCTTACTTCAAGTTGTTCATCCTGATACAGGACCCGTAATCCTATCCCACAGGTAAATAATAACCTATACACTGAGTGTTCCGAACAAAAACTTTAATAGTTTTAATATTTTAGTAGGACCAACTTAAGGTATTGATTAACAATGTACCAAAAACTAGCAATTTTTTTATTAAACTGAGGAAGCACATTATGTCGGCAGGTTCTGAACAAACCAAATGTGTATGTCACAATTTATATTTTAATTTCAGATTGGGTCCCTTAACGGCGCCTCCGCCTTTACCACATACAGAGCGCCCTTTAATGAACCTGACGTTACAAGAGGCGCTTCTAGTCGGAAATAGATGTGATCAGGTAACACTAATACATATAGTATAGTGTAATAAAACATATAGTAAATTTAAAGATTCAAAAATTATCTTTCTGTTTTAGGTTAAATTTTCTGAAATAACTGCCGACATGTACAGAATGCTGCAAACCTTAGAACGCGAGCCTGGAGGTTCCTTGGTATCTGTACAACACCACCACCACCAGGACTTAATTGGAGGTCCTGGATACGACCAAGGTAGTCCTGCAGGAACCAGAGCTTTACCAGGTTCTAACAGCATGTCTTATGGACCTAAAGGTAACCAAGATTTACGATTACCAAAACAGCAATACAACTATCTATGTTTGTTTCCAGGTTATGCAGAAAATGGTCACCATTACTCCTCGCGTTCCCGGAGGCACCATCATTCAGGAGGTCCTCCGTCGTACCGTTCGACGTCTCTCATAGGCGAAAACCCACATAAGTACTTACTCTACGCTCCAACTTTGGCACAATTACTCCTATTCTTAGCAGCAGGCAGCCGAGAATTGCCCCAAGGGGGCGCGCTTTTGCTATACCTCTCCGCAGACGCCTGCTTTGGAGCATCTAGTGGAGCCAACGGAAGAAAGGTTCAGTCCAACACGGACGAGAGTAAGTACAAATAGAAATAAAAAACTACAACCAGGAGCTCTTGTGTCTTTTTTCCTGCAGTTGGTTATGAATCCGGTGGCGTCGTGACTTCTACAAAACGTGATACGCCCCCGCCGTCGCACCATCATCGAGCGCCCCCACACTGCCATACCGATGACGTCATGGGGCACGGTAAGGACCCGCACTGCCTTTATCCAGGGGACCTCTACCCTTTCACGAGGAGACCCATGTTCCTGGTCGTCGATTCGGACAATTCGTTCGCGTTTCAGAACATACCGAGGTAAGTGATAATGGCTAAGTTTCGGAAAATTTGTTTGTAGTCAATCTCAAGAAAAAAGTGCAAAAAAAAAGTTTGGAAATGTGATATGGAAAACTTTATTAATTTTACGGTGATTCGGAGAGTGAATTTAATTTTCTATTAGAAATGTAGGACCATCGTGGTATATTCATTTATAAATTAAATAGTGCACAAAGTGACTAATGTTATAATTTTAATGGAATTTTTGTCAAAAATTTATAAAATTATTGAAAAAATATAATAAATTATTTTCAATATTAAATTATTAATTAATAAAATATTTATACATAAAACACAATAAACGTGAAATAAATACGACACCTAATTAATTCATCAAACATAATATAATTATTGAAATATAAAGCTGAAAATTATCGATATTTTTTCGTCACGCCATTTTGAAAAACTATCAAGTGACAACTATAACAATTTAATTAACTATAATAATAATTAATAAAATAAATTATTATAATATACATTTATATGCATGCTATATTTATTATTTAATCTATAAAATATGAATTAAATTAATTAAATCAGATTTAAATAAATTTTTGCAACCGATATTTATCTTTTGCCGCCATTTTTAAAACTGTCAAGTGATAATTATAACACTTTAATTAACTATATTAAGAAGAAATTGTGTATATTATAATTAAATAATGTTAAATCCGTAATATAATTAATATAATATATTAATTAAATTCATTGAAATAAAATTAAATTATTACAATCGATATATATCCTTGACGCCATTTTGTCAACTGTCAAGTGACATTTATAACAATATGATTAACTATAACAATAATTAATAATGTAAATTATTATAATATACATTTTATTACGCATATTTATAATAATTATATTAATTTAATAAATTATTCGCGCGTAATATTTATTGGAGCAGAAAAATATCGATATTTTGACGTGACGCCATATTGAAAACTGTCAAGTGACAACAGTCAAAATTTAATTATCTATAATAATAATTAATAATGTAAAAAATTATTATAATATACTTTTGCGTGCCATATTTATTAATTAATCTATAAACTATGAATTAAATTAATTAAATAAAATTTAAGAAATTTTTTGCAATCGATATTTATCTTGGACGCCATTTTGAAGAACTGTCAAAGTGCAGAAAAAATGCAGTGCTCAGCAAAACCTTATAAAAGTGATGAAATTCTGTTTATTTACGAATATAATCATAAATTGAGCTATTATAAACAAATAATAGAAGTTCTATGACGCATATTTAAATAGTTTTATATACTGACAAAGTTTTGAACAAGTAAAATGAGCGCTGAAAGTATACCAAAACATGCCAAAGTAAAAAAGCCTATGATTCAAGATAATGAAAGACATAATCAAGACAAAAGTCTTCACAAATGTGGAGTTTGTGACAAAAGCTTTGCTAAAGCCTCAACTTTCTTCAAACATTTAGAAAACCACACAAAAAAAGATGCAGAGTCTTCGGAAGAACATGCCCAATGCTATTTTGTATGTGACATTTGTGAAAAACAATACACGGATGTAACTGAACTCCTTACACATGTCCGTGGACACAACAGGGACAAAGAAAATGAAAACATACTTGTCAAAGACAAGAAAAAGCCTAGCATCCCCCTTGTATCAAAAACAAACTCCACAACCTCGTACTCATGTACAAGTTGTCTCAACGTCTTCCCGACTCTCAATTCCTACAAAAACCACACCTATAAATGCTGGGAAAGATCACAATTATGGAAATGCCACATATGCAACATGTTCGTAAGCTCGAGACACTCTTTGAAAAAGCATTTAAGGATTCACACAGGCGAAAAGCCCTATCGTTGTGATATCTGTAATAAAGCTTTTGCACAACAAGCCATTTTGTCAAAGCATCAAAGAGTGCACACGAAAGAGAAGCCTTTTGATTGCAAAGTTTGCAAAAAGGCTTTTAGTCAGTCGGGGAGCTTAACTAGACATATGAGGATTCATAATAGAGATAAACCACATGAGTGCGAGAAGTGTGGGAAGGCTTTTACGAGGTCTGATGCTATGGTCTCACATATGAAGAATAACCATTGAATAATATATAATTTTATTGTAAAATGTATGAATTATGAAAATGAAATATATAAAAAAACTTGATATGTACATATTTTTAAAAATAAAACTCGATAAGAAAGCAATATAGTAATTTATGAGTACTTTATAAGTATACTGGGTTGGTGTTGGGGAGCTTCATCATTAATTATTTAATTTTGTACAGAAACTTAAAAAAATCTATATTTTATTCAAATCTTGATATTCTACTTCTCAAGACCTTTCAAACGATACCCCACATGCCACAAGACAAAAATTTAATATTTTGAAGCAAAACTTCTTTAGGCTCGGTTACAAAAAAATGTCATAGGAGAGTATATTTTTGACAAATCAGTTAGTTAATTTGCTTAAGTATTTGTAGTTTTACTATTTGATGGCAAAATTTAAAGTATAATTCAAAACTCATTGTCAGAAATTTTAATTTTCTTCTTAATAAAATTTAAAGTTTTAAATTTTTTTGCAAAGGGAGAATATTTATCGCAATTTTATTATAAAAACATATTGTACTCTTCAAGACCTTTCGAATGACACTTCTTATGCCATATAAAACACCATCTAAATTTTTTGAAGTAAAACTTCTTTAGATTCATATACTATTAATGTAATAAAAGTGAATATTTTCAAATAAATATCCTTGATTTGATTTCGCTCTTTCAATATCAAGTACAAAGGTTTTTCATATCACACAATTTAATTAGTTTTGCAATAAAATTTAACAATGTTTGCCATAAAATTATTTTAATATTGCTCACATTTTGATTTATATATTTTTATCTATGAAAATCGTATTCTACGTTTTGAGACCTTTCAAATGATACCCCAAATGCAATAAAAGCTACTACTTAAAATATTTGAAGTAAAACTTCATTAGACTTTAATTTAAAGTGACCTCCCTTACATCACTTAAGTTATTATTATATTCTATATATTAAGTCTATTATTTGCACATTTCAGGTAGTTCATTCAACTTTCTTTAAATGAAAACGGCACCTAAAATTAGTTAATTATAAATTTGAGTCTAATGAAGTTTTACTTCAACATTTTAAATTGTACCTTATACTACTTGTGAGGTGTCGTTTGAAAAGTCTCGAAGAGTAGAATTCATTTGTTATTAATAAACTATTATATAAACAAAAATGAATTTAAATATTTTTATGACAAAAATATTAAAACCTTATAAAGATGTAATCTTTGTATGAAATTCTAAAACTAGTAACAATTCATTGAAATTGTTGAGAATATACACTTTTATGCTTTTTTATGAATTTGAAGCAAACGAATCTAAAGAAGTTTTACTTCAAAAAATTTAATTTTTGTGTAATATGGCATGTGGGGCATCGTTTGAAAGGTCTTGAAGAGTAGAATATGATTTTATTAATAAAACCGCTATAAACATTTTTCTCTTTTTTTCCTTACTTTTTTTCATATCATGTTATTCAACCAGAAAACTAGAGTTACAAAGCTGAATGAGCACCAAGGATGTATTTTCATCACAAATCGACAATTTGTGTTTAAACTTTACTCACAATATTAAGGGACTTGAAATATATGAAAAGACTACACGAAAGACTTACAATTCAATAATACAAGTCTCTAAGGACTTTTAATGCTCTCATACGATAGTCAATGGACTTATTAATGACCAGTTAATTAATTTTATTAGACCAGTTAATTCATTTTATTATTTTTAATGACTGGACAAAATTGCTAAACAAACTGGACAAAATGTTGTATCCATATCATGTCATCAAAAAAGTAGAGAAGTTGTATTTACTTTGACAAAGTAAGGGGGCTTACCATGTATGTCTTTTTCCAAAACTATCCTCAAATTTAAGTCTGACGTTAGACCATAACTTGCTTCAAACATCATGGTTGTAATTTCATCCTTATCAGACAGTTTTTGTTTTAATTGTACTAATAATGATACTCGAAGACTTACTTAAAATAACACAGGACTCTCGAGACTTTTAATCCTCTCGTTGACCCCTTTCGGTAGCCATCAAACTGCAATAAAAAATAAATTAATGAATGTCAATGCATGCAATAAATTAATAAACAAAAGCATTTGTTTTATTCGAGTGTATGTAAGGGGAAGCGATTTAATAATGAAAGAAAATGAATATAAAATAAATTGTTAAGCGATGGCTTTTGCAATAAATGAATGTATGTAAAAATAAGTAATTTAATAATAATGAAAAGGATAGGAATATGTAAATTACAATCCAACAACAATTGATTAAGTAAACAAATATAAGACAAGTATAAATTTATTTTTTGTGTAAAATTGCAAATGTATTTTCAACCTAACCTCAAAGAATTATGTATATATTTAGTCTTCAAATATAAATTAAATAAACATACTTACCACTTAAAAAATATTTAAAATAATCTTGTCAGTTATAATATATATCAAACAACTATTAAAATTTTTTTAAATTACACTTAAATTATTAAAAATTAAAAAAACTTCCACACAAAATTTGCAGAAGAGGATTTTTGACAGTTGTGATATAAATTTTAATTTTACAAAAATAAATAATTAATATGAGTGGATTATTAAGTGTGTGATTTATATATGATATATAATCGCTAGGTTAAGTTTATAAATTATTTAAGAATTTTATTATTTATCAAATAAATATAAAAAGATCAAAGATTATTTGACAGGCGTTACTAACCTAACCTAACAGACCATTTATTTATTTACACAATTAGAAATTAAATGAACACACTTGTCACTCCACAAACATCTTAAAATTAATCTTATCACGTATTATACAGTTTAAATATATAATAAATATTTATTAATTTGTTTAAATCACTTTTATATTATTAAAATCAAATTACTCAAAGAAATTGTGCACAAAACTAAATGTGTTCTACAAATCTAAAATGGCGGCATGACAGGCTTTATGAATTTGAATTATTGGATGTTAAATTTTAATTTTTGGCTTTTATAATTATTTAATTAAATTTATATGTGTGTTATTTAAATATAATATATGACTGTTGAATTGATAAGTTTATAAAAATTGGCAAAGGATTTTATTCTTAATCAAATGAATATAAAGCGCAAAGGGCTATTGACAGGTGTCAGTGGTTACATTTAAGGTGAGATATCGTTATTTTTAAAATTTAAAACAAAATTAAAGTATATATTATATTATTATTAATATATGATAAACGACATTGATTTAAAGTAATAAATTTATTTATTGCCAAATTAAATACAATTAATAATTATTTAAAATCAATTTTAATTTTTGAATAGTTGACAACTTCATAGTGTTAAATTTTTTAATACTTCTTGATTACTTTTTTGTAACTTTTAAACACAATTAAAATAAATATATAACAAACAAAATTCATTTCAAATGATAAATTAATTTATTAACAAATTGAATACATTTAAAATAAGTGTTACAGTGTTAAATTTTTTAATTTTTCTTATTTTTTTTAATGTAAGACTCAATTAATGTAAATATATTTTAAGCAAAATTAATTTATATTATTAAATTCATTTATTATCATTGAATACATTTAATAATAATTTAAAATCAATTTTAATTTTTATATGTTGACAACTTCATAGTGTTAAATTTTTTAATATTTTATAATAATTTAAATTGAAAAAACACAGTTGAAATAAATATATATTAAGCAAAATTAATTTAAAATAATAAATTAATTAATAATTATTTAAAATTAATTTCAATTTTTGAATGTTATTGGACAACTTCACAGTGTTAAAGTTTTTAATATTTCTTATTTATTTTTTGTACCTATTGCATTTAAAACACAATTAATGTAAATATATAACAACTAAAATCAATTTAAGATAACAAATTCATTTATTGCCAAATTAAATACATTTAATAACTATTTAAAATTAATTTTAATTTTTGAATGTCACTTAACAACTTCATAATGTTAAATTTTTTAATATCTCTTAATGATTTTTTATTCAATTTAAAACACAAAAAATGTAAATATATAATGAACAAAATTTATTTAAATTAATAAATTTATTTATTATATTACCGTTAAATACATTTGATATTATTTAAAATCGATATTAATTTTCGAATATTAGTTGACAACTTCATAGTGTTAAATTTTTTAATGTTACTTTTTTTTCAATTTAGAGTAAATAAATAATAAATAAAATTAATTTAGAGTAATTAATCCATTTATTACCAAATTAAATACAATTATTTTAATATTTATTTAAAATTGATTTCAATTTTTAAACAACTTCATAGTGTTAAAATTAATATTTCTCAATTATTTTTGTTTTAATTTAAGGCACAATTTATTGCGAATTTAAATAATTTAATAATTAATTAAAATCATTTGCAATTTTTGAATATAGTTGGCAAATTCATAGTACTAAATATTTTATTATTTTGTTCAAATTTAAAACCCATTTAAAGTAAATATATAATGATATACCTCAATTTGATGTCACTATTCAATTTATTTTGATAAATACATTTAATAATTATTTTTAATCATATTCAAGATATGTCAGTTAATTGACAACTTCATATAGTGTTGACGTAAATAACATGAGAGACAAATAGTGACATATAGAGATGAATATTGTAGAGAGTGTAATTAGAGACAATAAACGGTAATCAGAGATGGGGTGTATTATAGAGACGAACGGAGTTAACAACAGTGTTAATTTTTTTATTTTTTTTTTAAATTTATATTTAAAACACAATACTAAATTATTTAATTTATATTTATATAATTATTCATTTATTTTTCAGATACTTCGGCCAACCACTAGTAGCATTATTATCACCTCAAGACATTCCTCCTGCATTTCAAGGTAAATTAAAAAAAATATATATATATATATATATATATATATATATATTTATTTATTTATTTATTTATTTATATTCTCTTACCCAGATTTACAACGTGACGGATCTCTCTTCACCCTGTTTCTTCATTCGCCGCTGCTCGCCTTGTGTCGCTGCTGTCACATAGTAGACTTGAGTGCCCACACTTGGGACAGATGTCGCTCTCAGTACGATAGGTTTGCATCCGAGGTGACGAGACTGATGCTGTCGCACACCGGTTCTTCCGGCGGCGCTGGTGTCGCTGCTGATATGCAGCAGGATGGAACGGGAGCAGGAATCGTGGAGGCGGAGAAAGGTTAGTAATTTATTTATGAAATTCACTGTGAACAAGAAAAGTCTCTCTACTGTATGAATAGGAAACTGGGTTGTAAAATGATTGTGTGTTATACGTTGCCATCAAAAAACAAATAGAAATGTAAAGGTAAACTGTAAATACTATAGAATGCCATAATGAACTTTTTGAGTGATAACAGGAACTACAGGAAATTTAAAGCAGAGGCACATGTTTAAATGGGAAAGTACAACAGGGAGAAAAACACTGCAGACAACAGGGTTGCACATATAAGGGGGAAGGAACCATGTAAGGTGACATAGAAGAAATACAGACTGCATGCGAGGAATTATTTAGGCTACAGAAAATGCAAGGAACTGAAAGCAGAAGCACATGACAAGAAAACATAAAAGCATAAGTATGAGAGTGAATTGGGAAACAGGATTAGGACGAAACCATACAATAGAATTTAACAACGAGCACGCTTATATTAATAATAACTAACTCCTGAATATTTGTTGTTTTAAATAATTTTTATTCAAAATCTATAAATTACACTCAATGCAACTTCTTATACTTTGCGCTCTCATTTTCCTTCGGATAAAATATCTTTTTGAGTCCCAAAACCACTAAAAAGGCTCCTCCCAAGAACAATCCGAGCCACACGAGCACGAGGTCCCACATGAAGAGTGTGGGAGCCCCCATAACGGCAGCCCGAGACCTCAGGTGGGGGGCACCTTTGTGCCTTAGCACGTATTCACACCACCACGTCGCCTCTTCTAGCGGATGCCTCGGGCGATCTCGGAAACGAGACGATCGCAGCGACATCTTTTCGCGATAGCTGGAAACGAAAGACGTTTTGGTAACTGAATCCTCCCATCGCCAGAATATATATATATATATATATATGTATATATATATATATAAAAATATATGCACAGTGTTACCAACCTCGTACTCGTTAGCATCCGTCTCAACTTTTCAACGATTTCTTCTTCCGTCACCGTTGGAATTAGTATTTGTTCGGCGACTCCTGCGTCCACAGCTTTTTTTGCATTCTTCATTCGAAATACATCTTTATTAATTAATGATAATAACAATAATAATAATAAATGTAAACATATTGAAAAATAATAACTTTAAAATCAATTAGTGCAATTGATCATCTTGTTTTCAATGGAATACGATAAAAAATCTTGAAGTGTTGCCATATGCGCATGAAAATAGCATCACATTGTCATTTTTCCATAATTTTCAAAGCTTTCGATTAATATGAATATAGTTTTCTATAACTCTGTACAAAATAATACAAGAATACAAGGGTTTTTACTTTTTATATTGTTTCTAAATTGTAGACGATGCGATTAGTATGAACATTTAGCAACATCATCAAATTTTAGAGCAATTCTATATTGCTAAAACGCTTTTGATAATATACAAATACTTTAATTTCTTAAAGCAAACCACTTAATTAGTATTGAAGATGCATCTTACCGTAAACTGGTCAGCAAAGAAAGGAATAATCAACGTCGGAACACCATGCCAAGTTGTCTCTTGAGAACTCAACAATCCACCATGGGACATAAACAACTTTGTTTTTGGATGTCCTGAAAACAACATCAATTTTATCATCTTATCTTAACACCATCCATCCATCCATCTTACCCAAGACGTCATTTTGAGAAGCCCATGGTGTCAGCATAACATTTTTGGAAACTTTCAAATCGGTTCTTTCTGTTTTCCACAAAAAATGATGGTCGGGAAACTTTGCCAAAGCTCGGACGAACATTTGAATTTTCTCTTCGCTCATCATGTTGTATTTGACGTTGGTTCCTAAACTGAAGTAAACTACGCCTTCTTTTGCGGAGTTGAAGAAGTTGTTGATGTGCTGAGAAAGAAAAAGACTTCACTGGGTAAAGAAATTTTTTTTGTTGATCAAAACTACAATGAGGTTAAACTGGAGAAATTTTAGAGAAACTGATTAGCTGAAGAAATGGCGAGGAAAAGGAACCTTAAAGGAAAAAAATTTTCTGTATTTGAAGGAAACTGAGTTGGCTGTTGGAAAAAGTACCATAAAAGTTGAAAGTATTACGGGATGTAGAAGGCTTGGATAGCATATGTAGAAGAATAAAACCAGTGTGTGGTGCAAAAACTTTATTCAAAAGTCTACTATCTTACTTCTGGCAATGGTTTAGGATCTTTGACCTGCAACCCGCCGACCTGTATAGTATTAGGCAACAGCAGCTCGGGTAAATCCATTCCAGGATGACTATTAACCAGCGCCAACTCCAGTTTCTTCTCCAAATCACCCAAGTAAGGCAAATTGTTTCCAAAATACGCCCTTGCCATCTTGTCTACATTGTCAACTGCCAAACGTCTATAATACGAATCCAAAGCGTAATAATACACATTCAAGGATCTCTGCCAAAAATTCATATCACCAGAAAAGAAACTGCTGTAGAAAGGCAATAAACTAGGGACCACAGGGTTGCCTATCAGTTCGTAGGTATTCGGTGGCGTCATGAACGCCGAGATGCCCACTATTGGTGGATTGTTGAATTTATGGACGAAACCGAAGGTATCAGGCAAGCCTGTGTAGTCAACGATGACCAGGTCGAATTTGAAGTCATCAGGGTATGCTAGAAGATTTTTAAATCCTGTAGTCTTCATCACAGCATCGGATAAAACTGTTAGGAATAGGTAGAACATTTTTATTCCGTCAGGTATGCTCATTTCTGGGAAATCTTCAGGGTTGCCTGTGGCGTTGAAAACTTTCTGCATGGCTTCGTAAATGTCTTCAGCGTGAAGGTAGTGCAGGTTAGGAGTTGGTTCTGGGTCGATGTCGACGCTTAAAGCTGTTATGTTGTAGCCTTTTTTGGCCAGGTTGACCATTATAGAACGATTCCTGGAAAAGAAAATAAAATAACTATGGGACATGTTTGATTATACTTGTAGGACGTTTTGGTCAATTCTTGGATAAGCGAGCTTTTCACATTAAGGCAAACAAAAGTTTACTGGCGTGCAATCTGGTCAATTGAAATTTACCAAGTCGGCGAATTAAGGCTTTGATCAGAAGCATAAATTCTGGGAAAAAAGTCTCTACTGACGACCAATCTGAGATTGTATTCGAAACTGATAAATAAAGCTCTAATGACGGGCAATCTTATTTAGTAAAGTATTGCCAATGAATTAAATCTTTGCATAGGTCAGAATTATGGTCAAATTTTTTTTGTCAGTCGAGTTTTATTATCTGGAGAACCAGTTTGCTAGTCAGTACACTTCTCTTTTTTTGTAAGAATATATTTTAACTATTTCATTTGGCAAGACTATCTTAAGTTCCGTTTTCGGATAAGATTGCTCTCTTATTAACGCAATTTTTTTATTATTATGTTTTTTTATTTTATTTATATTATTACACTCATGTTTTGTTAAGTGAATACCAAGAAGTTGCCATGGTAACAAAAATTTATAATTTATCAGTATTACCAGATGTGATGACTCTTCGATGCCATTGGCATCAGGCACAAAATATTTCCTCTTACATCATTTTTACTTTCAGTATTTTCCACAACATTAAAAAATGTTAAAAGAAATAATAAAAATAAATTAAAAATTACCATTTTTGAAAAAATATTAAAATAAAAATAAACAAAAAATAATAATGGAACCAATCAATCAATACATTATGTAAAAAATGAATAGCTAGTTTTTTATCTGCAAGCGTTTTGTATTCCCTTGTTGTCTTTATCAGTTATCGATAGTGCGATTAGATTTTTATTTAAAATGGAACAGTGTTGGTAAATGACCGGTTATTTAAAATAAAAAATTATATATATTAAAAAAATTTCAACTTATTTTTTTGATGCAAAAAAAAATCTTATCCCAATAGCATTTGTTTTATCAATACAAGCAAAAAGTTTTTTGAATTGTTTAATTAAAATGCTTAGTTCTCTCAAAAATTGCCTTTTTTTATTCAGTTCCGTATCTCCGAAACGGCTAGACCTGCCTTTGCCAAAAACTAATCATCACTTCTCCCCATCTTGAATGTTTTTTTGGATCATTCAAATCAGATGCTTAATTCTCTCAAAAACTGCTATTTTTTGCACATTTAGCTGCATATCTCCAAAACGGCTGGACCTGCCTCCACCAAAAACAATTGACCACTTCTCCCTACCATTACAATTTGAATGTTTTTTGGATCATTCAAATCGGATGCTCCATTCTCTCAAAAACACGATTTCTATTTTCTGCACTCTTGTTCCGTATCTCCAAAACTGCTGGACCTGCCATTGCCAAAAACTGATCAGCGCATCTCCCTATCAATAAGAATCGAATGTTTTTTGAACCATTCAAATCGGTTGATCTTTGCGCTCGAAATCATGAACAAAAAATTGTATCCCTTTTGACTTTTAAATGTAAAGAAACGACTACACCGATTGTGGTGAAAAATAAAAGTACGGGTCCTTGTCGAGTTACATCGAATGGTTTTTTATTTTTTGAATTAGGTTAGGAAAAAACATCGACAAAAAGTGAAAAAAAATGAATCATATATACACAAACATATTTTTAACAATTTTGGTGTGAGATGATTTAGAATGACTATAAACGTCGTGAAGATATAAAATTAGTAAATTGGATTTTTTGGCAAAAACATAAGCTTTTACTTTGAATTTTAAATTAATCTTATTTAATTAACAAGGGAGCAAATTTATAAAATAAACCGTAAATATTTTAAGAAAAAGAATTTCCTTGCACACTAATTTATGACCAGCCCTCACACTATTGAAGAAAACAGTATTATCTTATAAGTGATAAGATAAACAAAGCTATTGAAATTAATCTTATTGAAAAAAATGTGTAATCATCTAATTATGTGGCACAATTTTTTTAATTTAATTTAATTACTACATCTCATTAAAGCAGTGGTGGCCAACAACATTATTAATAAAAATACATATTATAAATACATAATTTGTTTTTTTTCTTTCAGAAGCTTATCTGCACTTTTTCGGCGATGAATATCTGAGGACTTTGATTTTAAGATTTGTTTTCTGCGACAACGTCTTGAGGCTCCATCGAGGATTCAGGAGTCGAAGATTTCGACCAAAGTGAGTAAAAATTAAATGTAATATATTGAAGTGAACATATTTCAAAAGAGGGCACTGCAATACCATGTGGCAACAGCAAATAGAGTCGGTGCATAACCTGGATAAGTAACTTATCCAACTTATCATAAGTTGATGTCTTGGATGAGTCATTTCTATCAATAAGGATTGTCTCTGCGACCATCCATTCTTCTTGACCACAACTACAAAATTTTAATTACCTTTATCATTTATTTCTTTACAAGGTGTAGCCCCCCTCTGCCAATTCCAGATCTGCTGGAGCACCCAACGTTGGGTCAAATAGTCTTGCAGCTAGCCCAACAATTAGATGCCAGGAGTCATTTCTCGGAAGACGATTCAGGGGCGGCTACTGGCGCCTCTTTATCGACACCACCTACTGGCGTCCAAACTGGCGCCACTGGTGGAGTCTCATCTTGGGAAAGAGACACTGGTAGGAGGCAACATGTTGCCAGGAGTGAAATGATGCAACAGGAATGATGATACGCTTTGGAGGACACGGGACGTGAGTTGTGAGAAGGTAAACGTGAAGGTTGATAAGTGATAAGTGAATACAGTTTCTTGTTTGATTTAATAATTAGCTACAAATTTACCTTTTATCAAAGCTTTGAACCAATATCCTATTTTTAAACCATTTTAATACACTTAAAAATGGAGAGTAATAAATACAACTAAACTAAATTGATGTGACATAAATGCAAACTAGATTGGACACTTTATTGATGATCCTTTTTAAATTGAGAACTGAAAGATTAATTACAAATACGTAGAATTTTATTCAAAATAAAAATATGTTGTATAGTAGTTTTGAAGGTTTGCAACTTTGCTAAATATTTATATATTGATGGTTTACACAAACTTTTTATTTGTTATTAATGAAACAATAATAAATTGTTATTAAATAATACAAATATTACAACAATCTAACCATATTACTTTTCAAGTTAATCTCTACAACTATTGTTAGGGTTGTAACTTTGCTAAAACCTTGTATTTGGTTCAGATCTTTGTTAAATAAAAGGTGCAATGAATTAACTGAGCTTAATAATTACTATTGTCATCATCTAATAATATTGTTTCTTGATATTTTTGGTGGAAACTTTGAGCAAACTTTCTCACAACTCCAAAAATGAACGTCTCTATAAATAAAGAAATGCATGATATTATAATAAGTTAGTTAGGTTTTTAAAATATCGTAATACACATCTGCTATATATATGCGTTAATATATATATATATATATATATATATATATATATATATATATTATTACCATTATCTATATCGACAAAGTACTCGTCCTTTCCTCAGCATCAATCACCTGCGCCTTTCTTCCACTATCTTAAATTATAATTAAATATAAATATAAATATAATTCGTTATCTTCCACGAAACAAAAATTGTGTTCTGACACCCAAGTAGTCGTAGAAATCACATGGGCCGAGGTTCGAATCTTTGCTCGAGAGACATGAGCCAACTAGACTGCGTAATATAATAATTTTTGTGGAATTATGATTTATGAAATTTAAATTAAATAAATATAAATGCAAGCTGATGGCTGAAGATTATTTTTTTGGCTTTTTTGTGGTTGTAAAATGTTTTTGTGCCGCTGTTGGTACTCACTGTAACAACATTGTGAAGTAAGTCGCAAAACAAATTAAAGATGGCGACGAATATGAAGTAAGTCGCAAAACGAATTCAAGTTGGCGACGAATAAGAAGTTTTTTGTACTTTTTTAAACAATTTTTCTTTTGTTTTGAGCTCAAAAATTAAATTAAAACAATTAAATACTTTAAGAATATGCATATTTATGATTATTTCTATTTTAAATATATATTTTTCAAACATAATTTCTCCTATTTTTTAACAATTTTTAGACATTACCAGGTATTTTGTGTATTTTATCAATTTAAAGTATTTTTTAAAAGAAATTACTAATTCAATTATTTATTTCGTGTGTTTCAAACGATGCGCAGTCTAGTGGCCTATGTTAGAACTGTATGAAACAAAATAGTGTAAAATATTATTTTATAAGATAAATCGATTCATATAATACAAATTGAAATATAATTGCAGTAATGGATTGTTAATTATCAATTTGTGTATACAACACTCTATATTTTGGAACTGTTATTTATTTAATGAAGTTACAAACGTTTCGTGACCAAAATTATTATTAACATCAGTGTAAAATTGATAACGAATAAAAATATTTCAACTTTATAAAAATGAGCTATTGGCGAATATGTTTAATTAGAAATGGTATGAAAATTATCTTAGCAATTTTTTGAAATTATATAAGAAAAGAACCACTACATTTCAGATACCCAGATGCTCAGCTAATTATTATTAGAATATCTTTATTTATTTCATAATATTACCAATTTCTTAAAAAGGTACTATGTTAACAAATACTAAGATCGATATGTTTTCTAACAAAATTTTGAGATAATTATATTTTTATGAGTAAAATACCCCGACGACGTCAGTGCCATTAAATGTACAAACCATGTTCAACAAAATCTTATTAAAAAAATTTTCTTCATTCTGGAATGTTGTAATTTTATTGTATTATAGATAAATATATTTCTTATAATAATAAATACTAAAATCGACTTGTTTTGTCACAAAAGTTTGTTATAATTAAAATTATATGAGAAAAGTACTATAACATCTCAGTAAAAAAGCAAAAACTATGTTCAAATTTTTTTTAAGATATTTTTATTAGTTCTAGAAGGTTGTAAATTTTTTGTCATTTAGTTGAAAATGTCATTTATGATAACAAGTACTACAATCAAAATGTTTTCCTACAAAAATTATGATATCATGAGAAAGTACACAAATGATGGCACAAACCTTAGTCTCGAAAAGTTCGTAACTTTTTGATAAGATATTGCAAAAAAGATTGTTGTTTATACAAATATATATATATATATATATATATATATAATATATATATATATATATATATTATATATATATATATATATTATAACAATCAATTACCACAATTTTATTATTATTTTCGAAGATGATATTGAAAAGTTTCTTCGAACTTATAACCAAAAATTGTAAAATAAATATAAATATATACATATAATTAATATATAAACACTATATTATATATAAATAGAAATATTAAAATTATAATAAACACATTGCTATAAAAGAAATCATACACTGACAAAAATACAATACAGCTTTAATGATATAATTAGCTATAATTTCATTCAACTATTTATGGAATTATATATATATATATATATATAATTTATCTAGGTACATATATAAATACAAATATATAACTATATTAAATCAAATATAAATCGCTTTTCCAAATAAAATAAAAAAATTAGAGTTTTATTGTGAGGATGAAAACTTTTTTTCAGGCTCAATTGAATCTAAATTTATAATAATGGTATATATTATATATATAATTTACGTTATAAACAAATTGAAAAACAGTGGAAAAAATTAATTGACCGAAAGCGGATACAAAAATTACTTTCAAATATGACGCCATTTTATTTTAAAAATAATTGAAATTTGTAAAATGCAAAAACAATTTGTTAATTTAATTAAGTATAATTATATTTTATTAAATATACATATTTAATCGTATTTAAAATATAATTTATTAGATTTACAATTTATTATTTTATATTTAGTTATATTGATCTTTCAAATATGGCGCCATTTTAATTTAAAAATAACTTCAATTTGTAACATGCAACACTTTTTTAAATTAATGATAATGATAATTTATTAAACATACATATTCAATTATATATGAAGTATAATTTATTGGATTTAAAATTTATTATTAACTTCCCATAGGGTAAGTTATTGTAATGGGCCGAAAATCGAAATTGAAATTTTTTACATTTCTCGACGTTTTGAAGGTTTCTGAACATTTTGGCATAAGAACTTACCTCAGAAAAAATGGATGTGTGTGTGTGTATATATATATATGTATGGATACAAATTTCCAGTCACGTTTTCGGGCGCACGGATCAACCGATTTCAATGGTTCAAAAAACATTCGATTCCCATTGTTAAGGAGATATGCTGATTAGGTTTTGGCAAAGGCAGGTCCAGCAGTTACGGAGATAAAGAGCAAAGAGTGCAGAAAATAGAAATCGAGTTTTCAGAGAACGGAGCATCCGATTTGAATGATCTAAAAACATTCAATTAGTAATGATTGGGAGAAGTTGTTATAAGTTTTTGGCAATGGCAGGCCCAACCATTTCAAGCTAAATGTACAAAAAATTCCAGTTTTTGAGAGAACTAATCGTCCGATTTAATTGATTCAAAAAACTTTCTGCTTGTCTTAACAAAATAATTGATTCTGGAAAAAAAATTTTTTGTTTCAACTTTTTTTTTTATTTTTTGTATATCGAAAACAATTCAGATTTTATTTTTAATTCTGACTATAGTTCTAATTTACTTTAAACAAATAATTTCAACTTTGCAATTCAGTTTATATAATTCTTATAAATATTAGAAAATGTTACAATATTTATAATAATCTATTTGAAAACATTCAATATTCCTCGAACATTTTGTTACGGTACGGGAAGTTCCAGCAATTTGCCTTAAAGCACGATGCCACAAACCCCACTAGTTTTGTATTTAATTATATTGATCTTATATTTAATTATATTAAACTTTAATTCAAATTTCAAATATGGCGCCATTCTAATATCAAATTAATTGGAATTTGTAAAATGCAACAACACTTTGTTATGTCAATATTTTATTAAACAAACATATTCAGCTTAATATTTATTTTTATTGGCATTTAGATAGAAGTTAATATAATATATTAGATTTACAATTTAATATTTTATACTTAAATATATTGAACTTATGCATATATTCAAATTTCAAATATGGCGCCATTCTAATTTCAAATTAACTTCAATTTGTAAAATGCAACAATACTTTGTTATGCCAATATATTATTAAACAAATATATTCAACTTTAATATTAATTAATTTATTATTTTACTTAATTATATTGAACTTAAGCATATATTTTAATTTCAAATACGGCGCCATTTCATACAAAAAATAAAATGGAATTTGTAAAGTGCAACAACACTTTTATTAGGTTAATTATAGGTTATTAAACATACATTTTCAATTCAAATACTTTTTTTATCATTTATTTAAAAGTTAATATTATTTCAAAAGATTTATTTAAAAGTTTTTAAAATTTATCCAACATGGCGTCTTTGACAGTTTCCTGACAGTTCCATCAAGATGTTTTAACAATTCAGTGACATATTTTAGGCAAAATAAACATTAAAATAACTCTAAATAGATATTAAAGCACGTTGAATTTTGTTTAAATTAAGTGTTAATTGTTAATTTAAGTTATTTTTTATTTAAATATGTGTGAGGACATAAAGTTGTTTCCGAGTGTTTCAAAAATCAAAGAAGAACTTATTGAGTATACAGTAGAAGAAATTGATACAAATGGTGATGATGATATTAAAAAAGATGAAATTGAGGAAGAATTATGTCCAGAGACTTCTTTGAATAGATTTTTAAAATCAGAAGTAACGATAGAAGAAGATATTAAGCACGATCCCCCTTATGAACTGGAATGTGGTAAGTCTTTTATTTCTGGTAGTAAATTAATGATATAGATGAACAGACTTTACAAACGTCAAATTCGAGTAACTATTTTTATCACCAAATGTTAAGACTCCAAATCTCCTTCTGCGAGCGGTCCACAAATCTTTTTGTGCGATAGGACTCCAATCTCCTTCTGCCATAAGACTCCAAATTCCCTCTGCGATAAATTTTCATATTGGTAAAACTTATAACAAGTATTCTTCTCTAACAGGAACAAACCCATTCAATATAAAGTCTTTATAAATAAGGAAATCTTTTGGAGCACCCACATTGAAGACTCTCCATATCGATGTGGTTTTAGTGTTTCGATTACCCTGAGACACTATTAAATTATATATGAACTATACTTCCAGAGACTTGACGATGATTTATATAATCTATTGCAGTAAGTGTTGTCGCTTTGCTCAACCAAAAAAGAGCCTCTGGATAAAATGGTGGTAAATTGATCCAAAAATTTGTCTTCCAATGCTTCTGTAAACCTCATTCATACTAAAATCTGAATTTTACTTTATTTATTATCAATTAACGCTCTGATAGTAAATGTCCTCTTACTTTTATTTTTAAAGTAAATGAATCTAAAGAAGTTTTACTTCAAAAAATTTAAAATGTGTTTTTTATGACATGTGGGGTATTGTTTGAAAGGTCTTGAAGAGTAGAATACGATTTTATAAATAAAAACGTGATAAATGTACTCATTTATGTGATAAGTATTCATTTTTAGTAAAAGAACCTAAAGAAGTTTTACTTCAAAAAATTTTGATTGTGTTTTTAAGGCATGTCGGGTATCATTTCAAAGGTCTTGAAGAGTACAATATGATTTCATAAATAAAAACGTGATAAGTATACTCATTTACATGATTAGTATTAATGTGTAGTAAAAGAACCTAAAGAAGTTTTACTTCAAAAAATTTTGATTGTGTTTTTAAGGCATGTCTGGTATCATTTGAAAGGTCTTGAGGAGTAGAATACGATTTTATATATAAAAATGTGATAATTAGTATTATCATTTATACTTTTATGAATTTTAGTAAACGGATCTAAAGAAGTTTTACTTAAAAAAATTTTGATTGTGTTTTTAAGGCATGTAGGGTATCATTTGAAAGGTCTTGAAGAGTATAATACGATTTTCTAAATAAAAACGTAACATTAGATATAAACACATACACTTTAATTATTTGAAGTAAACGAATCCAAAGAAGTTTTACTTCAAAAAATTTAGAATGTGCTTCTATTGCATGTGGGGTATCATTTGAAAGCTCTCGAAAAACAGAACACGATACCATACATATAAAAATAATACATATCATTATATTTTTATTGGAAAAAATATTTGAATTTTCAATTTTATTATAATGTATAATAAAATATTTGATTTTTGAGTCATACTTTGTATAAGATTACTTATTTTTTATCCAACACTGTATGCTGATTATTGTAAATATGTAAGAAGTTTCTCGGATTTTAAATTTCTTAAGTCAAGCCTAAAGAAGTTTTACTTAAAAAAAACTTGGTAGTAGTTATATGGCTTGTAGGGTATCGTTTGAAAGGTCTCAAGGAGTAGAATACGATTTTTATAAAGAAAAAGAAAATTATAATTATAAATATTAGCATATTTTTCTATTTGCTAATATATGGTCCTACCTTTTAAGTCCTACTAATTTCCGTATCTAATACTAAAACTTACTATGTAATTTTTAATAAGTTAAATTAAAATAATAATTTTAATTAGTTGTTAGAAATATTTATATTTATTGCATTTTTGAAGAATATAAGTAGGCGAATTTATAGAAGTAAAAATTTTAGTAGGCAAGCCTATAGAAGTTTTACTTCAAATAATTTAATATGTGCTTTTAGGCATGTGGGGTATCATTTAAAAGGTCTTAAGGAGTAGAATACAAATATTGAGATAAAGTTTTTATTTCCTAAACTTTTTTGAACAAAACTTTGTTTTTAAAGTTTTGAAATTTGAAATATAAGTAGGCGAATGTTCATAAGTAAAAGTCTTAATAGGCGAGTCTATAGAAGTTTTACTTCAAATAATTTAATATGTGGGGTATCATTTGAAAGGTCTTGAGGTGTAGAATACAAATATTGAAATAAAGTTGTGGTTTTTTATACTTTTTTGAACAAAACTTTATGTTATTAATTTTTTGATCTGAAATACAAAGACAATGGGTGAAAATATTTATTAATTCAAACTTGACCATGAATATAATATAATAAATTTGAAATATATGTAGGCGAATGTATAAAAACAAAAAATTACTAGGCGTGTATGTAGAAGTTTTACTTCAAATAATTCAATATGGGCTTTCTGGCATGTGGGGTATCATTTGAAAGGTCTTGAGATGTAGAATACAAATATTGAAATAAAGTTGCGATTTTTCATACTTTTTTAAACAAAACTTTATATAAATAATTTTTTGGCTTGAAATACAAAGACAATGGGTGAAAATATTTATTAATTTCAACTTGGCCATGAACATAATACACATAATAAATTTAAATATACAAAAAATCAGATTTTTAAATTATACTTCAATGAAATATATTAAAAATTATTTTTTTTCTTTAATCTTGTTTGTTGTTCTTTAATAAATAAAAGAACATATCATAATTTTAAATTATACTCCAGGTATAAAAATTAATTTTGTTTCTTAATTTAATTTAAGTTGATAACAAATAATATAATTTAGATTTAAGTTCATCAATCATTAATTGATTTTTGAGAGACTAATGAGCTCGAAGATGATTGATTTGTGCTCGAGTCACATTTGTTGGTTTATTTACCTTTTTGATATCAATTAAATTTCTTTTTAAACATCTTTGCATTATTTTATTAGTATAATTTTCTATGAAACTATCGTCAAATTTTATAATTTTTCATGCTTAACACCTGCATAACCATTTTTTATTTGACTGTAATGCTTTCTACGATGTTCTATCAGGAACCTTTTTCTCATAAACTTCACATTGCATATCGAGCACTTATAAACCAAAGTCCCTCTATGCCACCTCATATGATTCTCGAGCCCAGTAAAAGTAATATAACCTTTCTCACAAATCTTGCACTGATAATAACCTTTATGATTTCGTTTCATGTGCCATTGCAGTCTCAATTCCACGTCATACACAACATGACAGATTTTGCATTCGAAAGGCCCATTGTGTTTGGACATGTGAGCCTTCAAACTCGAAGGCCGGAGATAGACTTTACCACAAATCAAGCATTGAGGTCTGCTACCGTCTTCAGGCATTGTGGGAATAAACTCATGTATCCTGGCATGATTGGATAGTTCTCCCTCGGTGTCAAACACTTTGTAGCAAATAGTACATTTGATCTCGTTGTGCAGTTTCATGTGCACCTCTAAAGACTCCTTATCAGCAAACATTTTTTCACAAACATCACAAATAGCATTGTTGTTCAAATGTTGGCTTGTGTGCCAGATTAGAGCCAGTTTTGTATTAAATTCCTTAGGACAAATATCACATTTGAACTTGTCCATGTTGTTATGAGTGTGCTCAATGTGCATCTTGAGTGCTGAGTTGTAATTATAAATCTTGGGACAGAATTCACATTCAAATACGAGTTTCTCTCGGTGTCCTGATCTGTGTTTACGTAAATCATATCTGCAAGAGAATTCTCTTTGACAGATGTCACATACAAAATTGTACTTGGGTGCAGGAGCAAGAGGTAAAGGAACTTTGTCATTAGGTATTCTGGATATGCGATTCTTTTTGGATGCAGGAGTAATAGATAAGGGAGCTTCGATATAAGATATTTTGGATATGGGATTGGCTCTGGGTGCCAGGGATAAAGGAACTTTGTTCCCAGACATTTGGGATATGGGATTCTTTCTGGGTGCCAGGGATAAAGGAACTTTGTTCCCAGACATTTGGGATATGGGATTCTTTCTGGGTGCCAGGGATAAAGGAACTTTGTTATTAGATATTTTGGATATGGGATTGTTTTTAGGTGCCAGGGATAAAGGAACTTTGTCATAAGATATTTCCACCAGCTGTCTTCTTTTGGGTGCAGGAGCTCTTCGCAAGGATAAGGGAACACCATCACCAGACATTTCCACCAGGTGTCTTTTTTTGGGTGCAGGAGCTCTTCGCAAGGATAAAGGGACAACATCATCAGATATTTTCCCTGCAAGATTGTTTTTAGGTGCAGAAGCTTGCTCGGATAAGGGTTCTTCATCATCAGATATTACAATTGTTTCTAGCTCTACTTCAATTAAATACACCCCTGGACTTTCTGGACCATCTTTATCATTTTCAGCATTGTTATTATGGTCATCAGACATTTGGGATATGGGATTGTTTTTGGATGCCAGGGATAAAGGAACTTTGTCATCAGACATTTCCACCAGGTGTCTTTTTTTGGATGCAGGAGCTCTTCGCAAGGATAAAGGGACAACATCATCAGATATTTTCCTCGCAAGATTGTTTTTAGGTGCAGAAGCTTGCTCGGATAAGGGTTCTTCATCATCAGATATTACAATTGTTTCTAGCTCTACTTCAATTAAATACACCCCTGGACTTTCTGGACCATCTTTATCATTTTCAGCATTGTTATTATGGTCATCAGACGTTTGGGATATGGGTTTGTTTTTTGATGCCAGGGATAAAGGAACTTTGTCATCAGACATTTCCACCAGGTGTTTTTTTTGGATGCAGGAGTTCTTTGCGAGGATAAAGGGACACCATCATCAGATATTTCTCCTGCAAGATTCTTTTTGGGTGCAGAAGCTTGCTCGGATAAGTGGACTTCATCACCAGATATTTCAATTGTTTCTCGTTTTACTTCAATTGAATACATCCCTGGACTTTCTGGACCATCTTTATCATTTTCAGCATTGTTATTATGGTCATCAGACATTTGGGATATGGGATTGTTTTTGGATGCCAGAGATAAAGGAACTTTGTCATCAGACATTTCCACCAGGTGCCTTTTTTTGGATGCAGGAGTTCTTCGCAAGGATAAATCATCAGATATTTTCCCTGCAAGATTGTTTTTGGGTGCAGAAGCTTGCTTGGATAAGGGGACTGCATCATCTGCTATTTCAATTGTTTCTCGTTTTACTTCAATTGAATACACCCCTGGACTTTCTGGACCATCTTTATCATTTTCAGCATTGTTATTATGGTCATCAGACATTTGGGATATGGGACTGTTTTTGGATGCCAGAGATAAAGGAACTTTGTCATCAGACATTTCCACCAGGTGCCTTTTTTTGGATGCAGGAGTTCTTCGCAAGGATAAAGGGACAACATCATCAGATATTTTCCCTGCAAGATTGTTTTTGGGTGCAGAAGCTTGCTTGGATAAGGGGACTGCATCATCTGCTATTTCAATTGTTTCTCGTTTTACTTCAATTGAATACACCCCTGGACTTTCTGGACCATCTTTATCATTTTCAGCATTGTTATTATGGTCATCAGACATTTGGGATATGGGACTGTTTTTGGATGCCAGAGATAAAGGAACTTTGTCATCAGACATTTCCACCAGGTGCCTTTTTTTGGATGCAGGAGTTCTTCGCAAGGATAAAGGGACAACATCATCAGATATTTTCCCTGCAAGATTGTTTTTGGGTGCAGAAGCTTGCTTGGATAAGGGGACTGCATCATCTGCTATTTCAATTGTTTCTCGTTTTACTTCAATTGAATAAACCCCTGGACTTTCTGGACCATCTTTATCATTTTCAGCATTGTTATTATGGTCATCAGACATTCGGGATATGGGATTGTTTTTGGATGCCAGGGATAAAGGAATTTTGTCATCAGACATTTCCACCATGTGTCTTTTTTTGGATGCAGGAGTTCTTTGCAAGGATAAAGGGACACCATTATCAGATATTTCTCCTGCAAGATTGTTTTTGGGTGTAGAAGCTTGCTCGGATAAGGGTTCTTCATCATCAGATATTACAATTGTTTCTAGCTCTACTTCAATTAAATACACCCCTGGACTTTCTGGACCATCTTTATCATTGTCAGCATTGTTATTATGGTCATCAGACGTTTGGGATATGGGTTTGTTTTTGGATGCCAGGGATAAAGGAACTTTGTCATCAGACATTTCCACCAGGTGTCTTTTTTTGATTGCAGGAGTTCTTTGCAAGGATAAAGGGACACCATCATCAGATATTTCTCCTGCAAGATTGTTTTTGGGTGCAGAAGCTTGCTCGGATAAGGGGACTTCATCATCATATATTCCAATTGTTTCTCGTGTTACTTCAATTAAATACACTCCTGGATTTTCTACACCATCTTTATCATTTTCAGCATTGTTATTATGGTCAGAGACTTCGTCTAAAATTGAAATCACCATAAACTTATAATATAAAATTTGACATTTATTTTTGTCTGTCTTACCTTCATGTCCTTCTGGATTTTGACAATCGTCCATTGATGATTTGACTTAAACAATTTTTTATTTAATAATTTAAATATTATCAATTTAAAATCTTACATTTTATTTGAATTTTGTATATTTATACTTAACTATTTGCGTTACAACTTATTTTCAATTTGTTAAATTAAAAATAAGTTCTAGCGCCGATTTGGTTGTCAACTGCTAGGGTTGTCGCAGTTGATGAAAATTTTGGCGGTTTTTTCAAAAATTTAAAAATGTTTGTGTAATTTAAAGAGCTTTATAATTATATTTTTAAGTAATGATATTTAATAAGGAAATTTTAAAAAAATTCTAAGATATACTGTTTTTTGCATTTGCAGAAAACGAGTCTAAAGAAGTTTTACTTAAAAAAATTTAGATTGTGTTTTAGGGGCATGTGGGGTATCGTATGAAAGGCTTTTTTGAATGGAATATGAATATTTAAATATTTTTGTGAATTTTATTTATTTTTACAAAATATTAAATAAAGGACTTTTTTAAATCCAATATTATTTTTAAATAGCTTTATTAATATATTTTCAATAATATCATCGTAAATTTTTATTAACAAGAAATGATATTTAATAAGAAAATTATAAAAAAATTGTTTAAAATATACTCTTTTTTGCATTTACAGGAAACGAGTCTGAAGAAGTTTTACTTCAAATTTTAAATTATGTTTTTGCGGCATGTAGGGTATCGCATGAAAGGTTTTTTTTGAGTAGAATATGATTATTTAAATATTTTTTTGGATTCTAAATTTTAAAGAGCTTCATTAATAATATATTTTCAATACTACTGTTGCATTTAATGCTTAAAGGCCTAAAGAAGTTTTACTTCAAAATTTAGAATGTCTTTTCACGGGTGTCATGTGCAAGGTTTTTTTTTTAATAGAATGAATGAATATTTACATACTTTCTTGAATTCTATTTATTATTAACAAAATATTAAATAAAGGACTTTTTAAAATTCTACATTTTTTTAAAGAGTTTTATTAATATGTTTTCAATAATCTCATCGTGAATTTTTATTACGAGTAATGATATTTAATAAGGAAATTTAAAAAAAATTTCTAAAACATAGACTTTTTTGCATTTACAGTAAACGTGTCTAAAAAAGTTTTACTTCAAAATTTTAGAATACGTTTTTTCTGCGTGTGGGGTGTCGTATGAGAGGTTTTGAAAATTGAAGAAATTTGTCTAATACATACACTTTTATTGCATTTATAGTAAACGAGTATAAAGAAGTTTTACTTCAAAAAATTTAGGTTGTGTATTTATGGTATGTGGGGTATCGTATGAAAGGTTTTTTCAACTAGAATATAAATATTGAATATTTTTTTTGGATTTTGAAATATTTTTGAAGATTATTTTCTATACTTTTGTTGCATTTATAGATTACAAGTCTAAAGAAGTTTTACTTCAAAAATTAAGATTGTGTTTTTGCGGCATGTGGGGTGTCGTATGAAAGGTTTTTTTGATTGGAATATGAAAATTTAGTTAAAAAAATTAATTATAAAATATTTTCAAAGTTAATATTTTTTCATTAATTTCACACAAAAATTAATATATTTTTACTAATTGCATCATAATTTTTTTTATCTTTTAAACAAATTGTGTTCTAATGAGGAAAAAATAGAAATTGGTCTAAAATATACACTTTTATTGCATTTATAGTAAAGGAGCCTACAGAAGTTTTACTTCAAAAAATTTAGATTGTGTTTATACAGCATGTGGGGTATCGTATGAAAGGTCCTTTTAAATATAATAATATTTAGAATTCTACAATATTTTTATAGAGCTCCATTAATTAAACGAGTCTAAAGAAGTTTTACTTAAAAATTTTGATTAAGTTTATACGTCATGTGGGGTGTAGTATGAAAGGTTTTTTTTGAATGGAATATGAATATTTAAATAATTTTTTGAATTCCACAGTATTTTTATAGAGCTTCATTAATTAAACGAGTCTAAAGAAGTTTTACTTAAAAAAATTTTGATTAGGTTTTTGCGGCATGTGGGGTATCGTATGAAAGGTTTTTTTGAGTAGAATATGAATATTTAAATTTTGTTTTTAAATTCTACATTTTTTTAAAGTGCTTCGTTAATATATCTTCAATTACTCCAAACGAGTCTAAAGAAGATTTACTTCAAAAAAATTCGATTAAGTTTATACGGCTTGTGGGGTATCGTATGAAAGGTTTTTTTGAACAGAATATGAATATTTAAATAATTTTTTGAATTCTAAAATATTTTTAAACGTTTTCATTAATATATTTTCATTAACTCCATCATAAATTTTTATCAGAAATTAATGATTTTTTAAAAAGAAGTGTATTGCAATAAGGATAATTCAAGAAATTTGTCTAAAATATACACTTTTATTGCTTTTATAGTAAACGAGTCTAAAGAAGTTTTACTTCAAAAAATTTAGGTTGTGTTTTTACGGCATGTGGGGTATCGTATGAAAGGTTTTTTTGTGTAGAATATGATTATTCAATTGTTTCTTTGAATTTCACATATCTTTTTAATAAAACTTTACATTTTTTACTATTTTAATAATTGTTTTTTATTTAATTTTTAGCATGTGTCATATTATTTAAAAAATCTCGGGGAGCACAATACAAATCTGAAGTGTAAATTTGATTTGATCAGTTTAACAAATAGTCAATTTGCATATTTTTACTAAGTTGAGCCTAAAGAAGTTTTACTCCAAAAAAACTTGGTAGTAGTTTATATAGCTTGTGGGGTATCATTTGAAAGGTCTCGAGGACTAGAATACAATTCTCATAGCAAAATGACAAATTACATAAACAATGAATAAATAATTACAATATATTATATTTCTTTATTTATTTAGATCACAAAATTAATGCACGATTAATATTTCTATTTGTATATAATATTATATCATATATTTCATCTATTATTTATTAAAAGAATTTTTTGGCGGGGCCTCCCGGGGCTGCCTTGGCGGGTGCTTCGGTAGGAATGTGGGCCCCCTGAGCCTGAAATCCGTTTTCGTCAGCTATGTAGTGGATTGTGTAGACTATGTTGTCAGGGCCGGTGAAGGAGTAAGAGCCTTGCATAACCTCAAAAAAAAATTAAATTAAGTTTTCATCAGAAAATCCGACTTACAAACTTCATGTATCAAGTCATTCTGAATAGGTTGACACCAGAATTTAAAGAAGTGTAGTTGAGCTAAATTCGACCTTTCTTTGACGTTTTCGCAAAAACGTCTATACTGATTTTATAAATTTGAAAGATAATCGATGTTTGACAAGGACTCGCATTGATCAGTTTTGCAAGATGATCAGCAGAGCCTTTTCTTTACAATTAGCAAAAAAGTGCAAAATTGGAGTTGATGTAATCTATCACATTTAAGAATATGCAGTAGAACCCTGTTAAGCCAATTGTGCTTTATTCGATTTCTCGCATAATACGCTACTTTACGCCGGTGTCTACAATTTGATCAATGTCCTATTTCGCCTAATACACTTTCTCGCATACAATCGTCTTAACGGGGTTTTACTGTTAATGAGCTATTAAATCTTACTCACTTGAGCCTCGTTGTCTTTGTTTCCTGCATTTTTTAAAAATCCCTGTTCCTCCACTTGAATGCTGTTACCGGTCTCATAACTGGAAAATACATTTTGAGGTTATGTCTTGAAGTATATTTTGAGGTTATAATTGATTTCTAGTATATTTGACTTTTTCTATTGCATTTTATGAGTAAACCCTACTGCTTTAGGATCTTGAATGGTTATTAGTTATTGGTCCCAAACGTAAGACATCCAAAATGCACAACAGCAGAACATTATCATGATCACAGAGAAGGAAGCAGAACAAGAAAAAGAAAAAGAGTTGTTGGAAGGAACTAGTGGTGGGTGGTCTTTCTAAGCAAACAAGGAAATCAGCAACCAAATACCAGAAAGTCTACCCAGCACGGTAAAAAGCCAAACATGACAAGGTATTTATTGATCTGCTAACCACAATTCCATCAACATCGATAGAGGGTAGTGGACCAAGTAGCAACTGCTGAGTCTTCTATTAATTGACCAATGATTTCTGGATCTTCTAGAAGGATACCTAGCTAGAATATAACCGAGAATATGGAGATAGGAGCAAAGTAACAGCTTCTGAGTCTTCTATTAATCGACTAATAATAACTGCTGGATCTTTTGGAAGGACATCTGCAGAGTACCACCAAGAATTCTAGGAAAATAAGAAAATCTGTAGCAGAATACCAGAAAGTGTACCTAGCACGTAAAAAAACCAAACATGACAAGGTACTCGTCAATCCAATTTAGTAGACCAAATTACAATTGCTGAGTCTTCTATTAATTGGCCAATGACTGTTGGATCTTCTATGAGGACACGTGCAGAATATAACCGAGAATATAGAACTAGGAGCAAAGTAACAACTGCTGAGTCTTCTATTTTGACTAATAACTGCTGGATCTTTTTGAGGGACACCTGCAGAGTACCAACAAGAATTCTAGGGAAATAAGAAAATCTGCAGCAGAATACCAGAAAGTGTACCCAGCGCGTGAACATGACAAGGTACTCATCAATCCAATTTAGTAGACCAAATTACAACTGCTGAGTCTTCTATTAATTGACCAATGACTGCTGGATCTTCTAGGAGGACACTTACAGAGTACCACCAAGAATATAAGGTGGAGAGATCAAAGAAAATCCCGAAGGTGAGCTTAAATATCGACAATTTTATGGAAATTGCTGATGACACATACCAGCAATATCAGCGAAGAAGATTGTGAAAATGTTAAGGCTTCCATGAGTGCACCACTGCTGAGCTTTCTATTCGACCAGCAACTTCTGATTCTTCTATTAATCGACGAACAACTGCTAAATCAATTTCTACCCTTTCCTGTTTCTATTGCGACCTTACGAAGTTTCACTTCACCTTTGTTTACTTACTTGTAATTATAAGATCCGTCAGGTTTAGGCACAAAGGCATATTTCAGAATCGGAATTTGTTTCCCTGGATTGAACGCCTGTTGTGGTGCAGGGGCTCCCAAGGGTTGAAATTTGCCCCTCTGAGGTAAGGAGTAGGCCAGTGATGTTATCGAAACCACCAGAGCTATCTGGAAAAGGGATAATTTAG